CCTTTCATCATTTGCTCAAATTGTATGCCGAGAAAATAATCTAAGAAACTACACTATGTGAAGAAGAATGTGAGATCAGAATTGGAGGAAGCAACTATTAATTAGTAACTTGTAATATGCAGATGACACAGCCTTACTTGCGGAAAGCAAAGAGAACTTGAAGAATTTACTGATGAAGATCGATGATGACAGCTTTCAGTATGGATTATGCCTCAACATAAAACAAAAAATCCTTACAACTGGACCACTAAGCTACACTATGATAAATGGAGAAAAGAGTGACATTGTCAAGGATTTCACTTTACTTCGATCCACAATTAATGCCCATGGAAGCAACAGCCAAGAAATAAAAAATCATATTGCACTGACCAGATCTGCTGCGTAAGACCTCTTTAAAGTGTTAAAAAGCAAAGATGTCACTTTGAGGAAGAAGATGTTTCTGACCCAAGTCCCCTGGTGTTTTCAATCACTTCATATGCATGCAAAAGCTAGACAATGAATAAGGAAGACTGGTGTTGGTGGACAATAGTGAGTAAACCATGGACTGCCAGAACAACAAACAAAATCTATCTTGGAAGAAGTGAGGTTGTGAGACTTCGTCTCACCTACTTTGGGCATGTTATCTAGAGGGACCAGTCCCCGGAGAAAAGAGATCATGCTTGGTAAAAAACAAGTGCCTTCATGTTGTTACATTTCTTCAAGTTGGTTCTGACTCATAGCAGACCTGTATTAGGTTTCCTAGGAGTGACTGGCGTGTTTGAACCACCAATCATGTAGTTAACGGCACCAGACCAGGACTCCTGGTAAAGTAGTGGGTGAGTAAAAAAGAGAGACTCTCAGTGAGAGGGATTGACACAATGGCTGGAACAATGCCCTCAAATATAGTAGCAATGGTCATGATGCTATAGAGCCAGGCAATGCTGTCTTCTGTTTTACAGGGGTTTGCTCTGAGTTAGAACCAACACGACAGCACCTAACAACATCAAAAACAGAAGATAGAAATGGGAGCCTTTGTGACTGGTTTTGTTTTTCTGAGGAAGTGAAAATCTTCTAGAAGATTATTTTTGAGTAAATAGAAGGTAGTAGTATTTAATAGTTCATTTACTTTTGGGTTTAGTGCTTAAATCCATTTTATTGTTAGTAAATAAGAATCAGTTTACTTCTAGCTTTTACTAAGGAAACTTGGGGAATGTTAATGGATGCGTATTTGAGGTCCAATGTAAAGAAATAGGTCTGGAAATAAAAGGAAATGGAATAATTTTACCTTTCTTTTCTTTATAATTAATAGCAAGCAACTAGATTCTTCTGTATTTTACTTGAATTTTTATCTCTCCAGCAGGAAAAAGACTTTTTAGAGATGGGTACTATTTTATATGAGGAAATAGGCCAATTTGGGTGAGTAAGGTTTGAAAAGGGAGGGTGTAATGAATGCAGTGGTAGAAATGAAAGAAGATACTTTCATTAAAGTTATAACCATGCTTAACTTTTAGCATTATTGTGTTTCAGAATTTATGGTCCTTAAAGCCAAGTTAATCCAGGAACTTTTAAATTAAAAACATTAAGGTCTAAACGTAGTATTTAGTATAATCCATAATCTCCTATTAATTTTTCAGTTTACACAAAAGATGTTGGACAACTTCTACAATTTTGCTTCATCATTTGCTGTCTCTCAGGCCCAGATGACACCTAGTCCATCTGAAATGTTCATTCCGGCAAATGTGGTTCTGAAATGGTAATGGTGTCTTTTATATTCTAATACGAAAGTTTTTACTAACTGTATATGAGAGAGTTTTTAAAAGTATGTAGAAAAATGTGATTAAAAGAACGGATTTTTTCTCATGTGTGTGTGAGCCATGAATGTATTTCTTCTTTTGTGTGTAAGCATTCTTCTGTTGTGGACATGAGGATCATTGGTATATATTATAGGATTCAGTCAGGGAAGGGTCTCATCATAAACACTATGTTATTTAGTAACCAGTTTGAATTTATAAAGACAAGAAAATATGTTTGGAGTCTTGGTGTGGTGCTATAAGTTAACGCACTAGACTGCAAGGTCAGCAGTGCAAGCTTACCAGCTGCTCCTTGGAAATGTTATACAGGGTCGCTATGAGTCGGAACTGACTTAGTGGCACTTAACAACGACAACATTAAGGTGTGAGGACTCCTGGTGTGGCACTGTAGGATAAACACTGAACTGCAAACCACAAGGTTTGGCAGTTGAAACCCACCAGCTGCACCTTGAAAACCCTATATAGGGTCTCTATGAGTTGGAACTGACTCGATGGCACTTCACAACACAGCAACAACATTAAGGTGTGAAGGAGTCCTGGTAGTGTAATGAATTACAAGATGAACTGCTAACCACATTTTGAATCTACCAGTCGCTCCATGGGAGAAAGATGAGGCTTTTAGCTTCTGTAAGGATTTATAGCCTCAGAAACCCTATACAGGATCACTCTGAGTTGAAACTGACTCAGTGGCACACAACCACCACCACCATCACCACCATTAAGGCGTGGTGATGTAGGATAAGCACTGGATTGCTAACCACAAAATCTGCAGTTCAAACCCACCAGCTGCTACTCAGAAACCCTATGCAAGGTCACTGTAAGTCAGAACCATCTCGATGGCACTTAAAAACAATGCATTAAGGATCATGCATACTTTTATATTACGAAGTAGAAATAGTGTTTATGAGGCTTGAGATAGCAGTCTAAGAAGTTTCTTTTTTTAAATTTGGAAAGCTTTGATTTAAAAGTCAACATGTGTAGGGTATCAGAATAGTTATACTTCCCTGTATTTCAATGACTAATAAATCTATTTCCCCAACTTTGCCATGTTTCTGTTTATAGGTATTTCTTTTCATTTTCAATGTCCCAGTGGTGAGGAATGCATAGGGATAGTTTGTTGAGAAGTGGCAGCATGGCGTAGCATGGAGAACACTGGAATGTACTAGGTTTGAGCTTTGATGCAGTGCGCATTGTTTCCTTAAACAAATTAACCTATAGTCATCTAAGACATGAAGGAGGAAGAATTCAATTTCATCTTTTGTCTTAGGTCCCAAATTTGCAGAAAATAAACAAATGTATTATGATTTGTGGGAGGTAGAGAGGACTTGTAAGTTTTCTGTAAGTCAAAGCTGACCTGATAGCAGCTGACAACGTTATGATTTGTGTTCTGTTACAAGCTAATCAAACTGCTTTAAACGTAAATCACAACGCTTGTTAACTTTTTATGAGAATGCTTAAATTTTCAGGTGATCAGTTTTGCTTTTTTTTAATCTAAGCTTTTTATAAACAGTATCTACAGTTGTGTGTTGTTTTTGATAGATTTTAAAAGGTAAAGATTTGTAAACTTAAATAGGGTTTTTTCTTTTCTAGGTATGAAAATTTTCAAAGACGACTAACACAGAACCCTCTCTTTTGGAAAACATAATGATTTGAATAAAATAATTTTCAATGGATTCTGAAATTTGCCCTGTTTTGAAGATAAATGACTCCACTTAAAAGCATGAAGTCAAAAGAATCATGAAGTTTAAGTTTCAAAACTAGTGACTGATTGTGACGCTAAATTAAAATCTTTACAAAATTAAAAAATGAAAATGTTTATCATTAATGACTTTTCCTCCCTTAAGCTTAACACTATTTAGAAGCAAACTCTCTTGGCTGTGATTATTTTTTTTTTACTTAAAAATAAATAAAAAATTCACAATAGTGTATTACATGCCATTGTGTTTATAATCTTGCATTTATTTTTTTCAGTGGTTTCCTAGACTAGTTAACTTAAATTAATTGGAGATCTTTTTGAAAATCATCAAATAAAAATGTTTACATATAGAACAATTGTTTTCAAGGAGTATTTTGTAAGATTGTAAGTTTTTCAATGAACACAGGTCAATTAAAAAGTATCTGGTTGTGCTTTATGTCCTAGTACAAGAAGGTACTTACTGTTTTAAGACAATATCATTCTTTTTTATATAGATATGTAAAAGCTTTCATTCCCATGTAATGGTAATGAAAACATTCCTTCAAAATGACCAGTTACATCAGTATAACCTAGGGGCATTTGTGCATCCTGTTTAACCTAGAAATGCTGGCTACTTCAGTTATTAAGTAAGGGCATGAGTATTAAATATGTTATCCAGTTATATAAGATTATTATTCATGTTTCTAAAGTTAAGGATCTGGAAATAACAATGATACTGATACACTAAATCTGTAAGATTATAGCATAAAAATTCTAATCATTATAAATCTTTGAAAAAACATGATTATAATTCCATTTGTTAAACACTTTTTTTTGTAATAATGCATGATTTATGGAAACAATGACGACTTAATCAAAAAAGCCTTTATAGAAAGTTTAGACATTGTAAATAATGAAGAAAAAGCTCCTAGACTTTTGTAAGTTGTAATATTTTTACATGATGATACAATTAGGGAGAATTACAATATTATTAACTAATATATTTCAAGAATATGAAGTGAGCTTTTTTCTTGATGCAATTCTAAACCTCCATTCATAAATCAAATTTAATTAAAAGACAATTGTGTTTTAAGGCTTTGAATATTTTGCTTTCCTTCTTGTGTTACCATTGACTTATTTAAGTTAACATTTTTTGCCACCGAAATGTTTTACTTTAGAAGAGTAAAAAATGTAAAGCATTAGAAATTTTTGTTGCCCTGCCCACCCCCTTTTTGGAATTCTTGAGTTCTTTCTTTAAATTTATGTGAACTTTTAATATAAGCCAATTAGATACTTTCCTACAGATTTCAAGAGCTCTTATAATCTGATTTAAGGAGCCCTGGTGAATTGGGCCACTAACTGCTCCTCAGGAAAAAGATGAGGCTGTCTGCTCCAGTACATTTACAGCCTCAGAAACCCTATGAGCAGTTCTACTCTGTCCTATCAGACTCAGGAGTCCCTGGGCGGCACAAATGGAAAAGTGCTGATTACTAACTGAAAGGCTAGCAGATAGAACCAAACCTCAGGTATCTTGGAAGCAAGATCTGGTGATCTGCCTTGAAGACCCAATAGAGCACAGCTCAACTCTACACAGATGGGTGGTCTGTATGTTGGAATCGATTCAGTGGCAACTGGTATCTGGCTCATTCCTCTTAAAATAACTCTCAAATGAAAATCTTAATAATATCCATATTTTCCCCTACATGGCCACTTCTAATACAAACCTGCCTTTGATGAAGTTAAACCATTGAGAAAGAAGTGCAAGAATGAGTAAATAGAAGTTAGAGTTCTTAGGAAATAGTCTCAAGTTTAATTGCAGATGATCCCATGAGAAAACTGGCAAGTATTGCTTGCCTCCTGGCAAGGTAGAATATAAAGAGAATATTTCCCTCCTACAAATAATAGTGTTTCCACATGTAGGGTAAAGACTCAATGATAAACAGTTTGGCTTTATAAACTACCCGTGAACTGGAAAGCAATTATCCTTATGCTGTGTACTGGTATATTATGCAATTGTGTTCTAGCAATTTGCTGGGGGAGAGTTGAGGAAAAGGAGCTCTCAGCTGCTCACTGGAAGATGGTCAGTTTGATCCTCCCAGCTGCTCCATGGGAGAAAGATGTAGCAGTCTGCTTCTGTAATGATTATAGCCTTGGAAACCTTATGGGGCAGTTCTGTTCTGCCTTATAGGATTGATGAGTAGGAATTGACTCCTCATCAGTAGGTTTTGAATGGGTAGGGGTAGATCGTTTTTGCATTTGTCTACTCTAGAAATTTCATGTAAATGGAATCATAGTAATGTGTCTGGTTGATTTCACATAGCATTTTTTGTTTTTGTTTTTTAGAACAAAACACCTATAATACATGTGTTGGATGACAGGGTTGTTGTTAAGTGCTGTCCAATTGGTCCAACTCATAGTGACCCTGTATAGGGTTTCAGAGGAGTGGCTGGTGAGTTTGAACTGCCAACCCTGCAGTTCAAACTGACCTTGTGGTTCAGTGCATTATTCTGCAGTGCCACACCAGGGAGGGTGGTGGTGGTGGTGTGCTGTGGAGTGGGTTCTGACTCATAGCGACCCTGCATAGGGTTTCTGAGGCTGTACATCTTTACGGGAGCAGAAAGTCTCATCTTTATCCCGCAGAACAACTGATAGTTTCCAACTTCTGACCTTGAGGTTAGCAGCCCTACTTGTAACCACTACTCTACCAGAGCTCCTTGGATGGGAGGGAGGAGGGTTTATTTTCCTTTCCAGGCTTTGATTTTCCTCAAATAGAACTCCGATTCCTTGCCCTTTAGCACATAACCATTGGGTTGGCCACAGTGGTCTGCTCTTAGGAATGATACAAGAAGTTTACGCTGCTGGAACTGTACCTCCAGAAGACTGCTGATTTTTGCATTCTTTTTCTTTTCATCGTATTTTTTATGAGTTTTCTTTGATTGCTTTTTGTTTAGCATCTCTTCCTCTTCAGAAGTCAGTTTGGCTCCCTTCTTGCTACCCAGAGGCAATGCATAGTGGGACTCGAACCACAGCAGGTATAGTGTGCTGTCAGTGAGCATGATGCAATTCTTTATCAGAGTCTTGGTGCAGACCAGCTGATCATTGTATGCATTGTAGACAACATCAGTGATTCTCATTTTTCCAACTCAGAGCCCCAAGAGAAGTTCCCCACATCAAGCTTAGGCCCTCTTCTTGTTGCCTCCTCTCACATGGACTGTGTGTGTGCAGCAGGGTCCAATCTTAAGTGTTGGCAACCACATATCCCACCTATACTTCTGCATCTTATGGTTGGGCTTTCTCTTGCCCCTAGTCTTGTGGCACTTGTGCCTCTTGGTCTGGAAGATCCCTATCATTTGGCACAGGCTGGAAAGAGAACGTAGCAAAATATTTTGAAGGTTCATTCCTTGTAACCTGTATCAGAATGATTCTTCTATGGCTGAATATTCTATTATATGTATATACCACTTTTTGCTTATTCATGTTGATGGATAAATGGATTTCCACCTTTTCAGTACTTTGAATAAAGCTTTTATAAACATTGGTATAGAGTAACTGAATCTCTATTTTCAATTATTTTAGGTATATATTTAGGAATGGAATTGCTAGTTTACATATTGTTGAGGAACCACCAAACTCAAACTTTTTCTAGAGGTGGTACCACTTCACACTCCCACCTGTACAGAAGATCCAATTTCTCCACACCTTTTGTCAATACTTGTTATTTTCCTTTTAAAACTTAAAGCTAGCTAATAGGTATCCTTGGAAACCCTACCCAGGGTCGTTGTGGGTCAGAATTGACTTGATGGCACTTAACAACAACAATAATAGGTGTGAGGAGCCCTATTGTGGTGCTGTGAGTTAATGCACTGGACTGCAAAGCCAGTTTGAACCACAAGGTCGGAGGTTCAAACTCAACAGCCACTCCTTGGAAATTCTAAACAGGGTTGCTGTGGGTCAGAATCGGCTCGACGGCAACAATAGGTGTGAGGAGTCCTGGTGTGATGCTGTGGGTTAATGCACTGGACTGCAAAGTCAGTTTGAACTACAAGGTCAGAAGTCCAAGCTCACCAGCTACTTCTTGGAAATCCTTATACAGGTTTGCTATGGGTTGGAACCGACTCAACAGCACTTATCACCAAACAACAAATAGGTGTGAAGGAGTCTTGGTGTGGTGCTGTGGGATAAAGCACTGAACCACAGGTTGATTTGAAACTCAAGGTCAGTGTTTCAAATTCACCAGCCGCTCCTCAGAAACCCTATACAGGGTCCCTATGAGTCAAAACCTACTCCATGCACTTAACAACAACAACAATAGGTGTGAAGTATTGCAGTTTTGATTTGTATTTCCTTCATGAATAATGATGTTGAGCTTCTTTTCTTGCATTTATTGGGGAAAGATCTATTCATGCCCTTTGCCCATATTTTAATCGTGTTTCTATTTTTGTTGTAGAAGTTCTTCATACTAGGTATTAAATCTTTGTCACAAACATGATTGCAGTTGCAAATAATTTCTCCTGTTCTTTTCACTTTCTTGACAATGTCTATTGATTGATACACAAAAGGTTTAAATTTTGAATGAAGCCAGGATCTTAAAAAATGAAACACCTCTGTGGATCTTTGAGAATTGACTGTTAGGGCACTCTTTTAAGCATTGAACCTTGAGGTCAGCACAAGGTGAGAGCTCAAGATTTTTCTCAGGTCTTTCCTGAGTATGCGCCTTGGCCTGGACGTGTGTGGCTTTCTAAAGTCTCCCTTAAACACTTCTGAGATGCCTTAATTCCTCAAAGAAACTCCCCAGTTTTGCCTCCCAGCTCTCAGGCAGTCTTGTGTCAATCATACACTCAAGACAACTACAAGTTGCCATTCTTCTTACAGGGTTTAAGCAATGCTAGCTGATGATGTCACTCAGGTACTATTGTTTATAAAGTTCTATTTCTGGACACAGGAAAACATCTTAGACAAGAAGATATTTGACCTGGCCTAGGAGGTTAGGATGGTCAA